GCCGATAAAAACAGGGTGGTAGGCTCCCTCCATCTGTCGTGATCCCTTCCTTTCGAGCCTCGCGAATGAGATCGACAACAGAAAGAAGCAAAGCTAGAAATGCCACTACCATGCCCATCAATGCAAAACCCAGTTAGTCAAAAATTGCAGACATGCCCTCTAGAAGTAAGCTTGTGATTAGTGACTCCACTCATTTGTTTCATACACCACACAGGTTATCAATAATATACTCAAAGAACAACGATCTAGGTGGTGGCCAAGTGATAAAGCCTTGAGATTAAGAGATTTGCTCTCTCTGTGGTCTCAGGTTCGAGTTCTTGGTTGCTCATATGATGGCCACTGGAGGCTTACATGGTCGTTAACTTCAGGGCCCGTGGGATTAGTCGTGATACACACAAGCTGGCCCGGACACTCACGTTAATCTAAAAAAATAATATACTCAAAAACTAAAGGAGCGGCTATTTTTGTTATTAAAATAACTAAGATGTAGTTCTTATGCTTGCAAATGATCTCTATTACACTAACTGTTCAAGAATTTATCAAATTACATTAGGGAAACTAGAGAATAACAATTACCTCTGCTTGCTGTTGAAGAGATTGAAAATAGTGGATGACTTCATCAAGCGAGAGAGCCTTCCCACCGGAAGGAAATAACCTCATACCATCATACATTGCATTATTTGTTTATTCTTAGTGGTGTAACCGAATTGATGCAGCCCGGTGACCTGTCTATCGAGAGGATGGCAAGGTTTCTTGTCATGACCCTAATCCTCACCAGCAATGCAGGAGCAGTGTTAGCGAAACAATACATTTATATTAAGTCTCATAATGTATATATTATAAACAAAACTTTATAAAATCCGTGCAACATTTCATAAAGTTATAAAATATTATATTATTTAAAATCAATAAAATTAAAAATCATTTTAAAGTAATTATGTTTTTAAAATCAAAACTTTAACTAAAATACTGTAATAATAAAGTGTCTAAAATATCGAATTAAAATTAAAAGAAAAGCCTCATGAAACAACCGTGGCATACCAATCAAAACTAAAGAAGCAGAAACACTTAACAAAATTTACCTGTTAATAGAAATTAAGAATTTAAAATAATATTAAAAATAAAAAGTGAGTTCAACTAACTCGGTAAAGTAATAACATTTAATATACATTTTAGATATTAATAGTTTGTAAGTCAATTTATCTTGATATACATATACATACTAAGCATATTATCATAACATACTAAAATATATGTCAAATATAAGATGACATCCAAAATGATCAGATAACATTTAAAGGTGATTACTATGAAAGGATCAGTAGGCACAAACTAATACCTCTCTCATCAGCTAGGTATACAGAATATTATATGCACATAGACTAAATATTCTTCATTAGTATAGAGTTATTGGCAAATCCTATATCAAGATATAATAGATATTTGTATAATTATCAAATCAATGTATTATATTGAATAAACTTTAGTTAAATAGAATGCGAATGCAAATTTAAGAATATATGGGTGCTGGGAAAATAAAGCAATAAATATAAATATTTAAGAAATTAACTAGTTGTACTCATCATTATATAATCAACATGCATATTTATTTATATTACATGCATATTAAAGATTATTCTACTCACCCGAAAAAAATATAAAAGTAAAAGGAATATCAGATGAAAAACTTAAAAATCCTATTGAGGATCATTAGAAGTACCTATGACAAAAATATAGAATATACTAAAAAAACAATTTAAAACAACACAAATAAAAGAATCCAATGCATAAAAAAATTAGGTTTAGTGTAATAGCCCGACCCAACCTGCTGTATATTGTATGCTTTGGGCCTTACCGCCCTTATGGTTTTGTTTATGGTAATGTGAGTCCACTTCTGAGCCTAACACTCTAAAATGTGTACAACAGGTCAACAACTAGCACTATTTATAAAGTCCTGACTTTGAACGTTTGCTTTCGATGTAGGATATCACAATCCCCCCACCTTAAGAAGAGTTGTCTTCATATCTGATATCAAATGTAATAGCTCGACCCAACTTGTCATATATTATCTGCTTTGGGTCCTTATCGCCTCATAATTTTGTTCCTGATAATACGAGCCCACTTCTGAGCTTAACGTCTCAAAATGTGTATAACAGGTAAATAACCATCACTACTCATAAAACCCTAACTTTAAATACTTGTTTCAATGTGGGATATCACATATAGTCTCCTAAGTTTATGGACTAAAACAATAATTTTTAAAAATTAAAGAACAAAACATAATTTTACTAGAATTAGATGATCAAATTGTAAATATAAGAAATACATAACTATATTGAAATTTCATCCATAATGCATCCTCAACTCTTTCCAGAATCTCGATTTATGTTTCAAGGATCAAATTGTGATTTTTTCAAAGTTTTGGGGCTAAATTGTAAATATCCAAAATAGAGGGGCTAAATTGAGAATTATACAAATTAATTATCAAACTAAGATTCATCATTCTTAACCTCATAAGAATACTGCACATAATTTCAAAATATATTTGGGGGTCAAAATAGAATTTTTCAAAGTTTAAAGACTAAACTATAATTTTCATAAATCAATAACCAAAATTTTTTTATCATCTTTAACCTCAATACCATTATATCTAGATTTTCTAGCAAAATTTAAAAAAATTTCTTAACCTATAACAAATAAATTAAATAAAGTAATTCACAAATTCTTATTTCTAACAATTAACAACACATCCAAAATTAATCACTTAACTTTAAACCCATAATAATTATGGATCAATATTAACAACATAAACTTCAAATCTTTATAAACTTTAATTTTTTCTTTAATTCTTCTATAAATAAATTATAATCAAAAGTAACATGAAAGGAAATCACTTACTTAATATATATTTTTTTTACATAAAATCTCAACATCAAAAATTAAAATTCTTGGTTTGATGAGGGAAGGTCATAGCAACCACAAGAATTAAAAAAGAGAAAAACAATTCCCTTACAACTTTTTCTTATATAATTAACTTAAATTAATTTAAGTTGGATTTAGATAAAAAAATTCGTTCTTTTTTACATAAGATTGGGTTTGGATAAAAAAATTTGTTCTTGCATTTCTAAATCAACCTTGTCAAATCTAGGTAATATAGCAAGTTAATTCAATTATATCAAATTCATATTTGACTTAATCAAGTTAATTTTAACAATTTTTCAAATCTATATCGAACTTAAATCAGCTTACTTTTTAAAAAAAAAAATTTAATAAATTGTTTCACTTGATTTAGTTTCAATTTTTTTAAAAAAAATTTCCTCTTCCGACTCGGCTGTTGGTACTTGTATAGTACCTATGTTTAAGCATTTGATTTTAGAGTCAAAATAATAATAATAATAATAATAAAGAATTGTATATTGCATTCTGTATCATATTTCTAGTTGCACTTCAATTTTAGTGTAACCCAGTTAATAAGTTGGCCATATAGATTTGTCCTAAGCCTTTCTTTGTTCTTACGGATATTGAAGGGCAAAGAACAGAACTAAGTCCTCAGTTTTGTTCAAGTCAACGCCTGCAACACCCAATCTTCACAATGTGTTCAGAAAATAAGCAGCAGCTAACATTGAGACTAATCAGTGAGAGAATGAAAGATACAACACAAAAACACCACTCACACCAACACTGCTTTATGTCGTTCAAAACGAACAAATTGTTATACAAGAGAAGAGAGCAAACTAGCAAATCTTTAACAGGCACAGAGCCTCTCCAAATGACAAACATGATGGTTTTTATTGTTTGAAATTAACAAATCAATCATATACCCCACCCCACTATTTCAGCTGTGAATTACAGCAACTACACTGTAGGGA